CTCTGTTAGTTTTTTTTAGCCTGCTGTATCCCATTGGGGAGATTTTCCTTCACTTCTTTTCCCATAGCCGAAACTGGAAGTGAGAGGAAATCCTTCCAAAGTGAGGGAAATCCATGGTTGTCTCTAAAGCTAGGGTCCCCATGGATAACTGGGTACAACTAGTCCTGTGCGCGGGGTCTAGGCAGCTGGGTGAATCGGAAGTGGGCAGGGAGGTTGATCGGCATGGGGGGGGGGGGGGGGGCAATTCCTGGAACTGATCCTCTGTATGGCTTTCTCTGCAGCAGTTGAAAGCTGGCTTCTTCTCCTCTCCCTCCGACTGGCTTTCAGCTGCTGCTCAGAGAGCCATATAGGGGATTGGTTCAAGTAATTCCCCCCCCCCTCACCCATCATCCTCTCTATGCACCATAAGTTATCCCCTCCTGCCCAGGCCCCCTGTGTGCCCCCATAGTGCTGCCGGATTCCCTCCTTTTCTTCCCACTGGCAGCTGCAAGCCCACAATAATATCCTTCAGCATGGAAAGTGGAGGAAGGGTTTCATAAATATGTCACATTTACCAGCCCCTTACATTCCTGAATAAACACAATGAGTGATCGGCACCAATTACTCACTGTGTTCATTTATAACTGAAGCATAGTAAACTGTTTATTTTTGGGTGAAGGGCCCTGTCAGGTTGTCTATATGGGGCCCCGTGATTTCTAACTGAAGCCCTGTCCTCATTGTAATATTTCCCCTTCATTACTGTTCTGGGGACAACCCAAAATTTGGAATCTGTTTTTCCTTTCACTTTTGGTAAAAACAGTACAAGGACTGTGCTAAAAGTACTGCAAAAGTGGGCATAACTTTTTTATTAACTTACAGAGGTTGTTCAAATTTCTCATATTGGTAGAGTAACTCTTCCACTATAGTAACTTGTCTTATTCTTTTTCATTGCAGGTAAATGATGGATTCTGAGAGGAAGCAAAGTGCTGTCATTGAGTTCATGATGGAAGGGTGCAAGCTGTCCAATATCTACAGAAGGCTACAGAATGTTTACAGAGATGATACCATTAACAAGAGTCACCAATGGCAAAGACATTGCTCTTGTCAATGGTGTCATGTCCGTAAACATTCTGTAGCGTTCTGTGGATGTTGGACAGCCTGCACCCTACCTTCATCAAGAACTCAATGACAGCACATTGCTTCTGCTTGGAATCCATGATTTACCTGTGTAGCCCCCTCCTAGTCTAAAGTAGGCTGTTAGGTAAATTTAGTTGTCTCCACTGTAATCCGAGGAGCAGGGATCTCACAGGCTGCTGCTCTGATTACTTCCCCCTGTTTTCTAGAGGATTCTAGAATCATAGTGGGAGGAACAACAGGCTATGCAGCCTGAATATATATGGCACTCCTGCCAATCCCTTGGGAGGTGTGCCAAGTAGGTGGTGAAAGAGACCATAAATAGTCTGAGGCTTGAGCAGCAAGGTTCTGAGCTCCTGGGTCCAGTCCTACTGAAGGAGACCCCTGTGCATGGGGCTGAGCCCACCGGTGGAGATTTCTAGAAGAAGCCAGCAGGAGAAAACCGAGGTCCCAGCTGGGCTCGGTGGGCAATTCACAAGCTTGAGTCCAGGGATCAAGTTGGGTCTATAGAAATTCATGGAAGAGAGCCAGGAGGAAGTTGGTGGGAAAGAGTCCAGTTGTCCTATGGTGGTGTGAATTCACATCTCCCTAACTAGGAAGAGTCAGGTAGATATCGGCAGGAGGCAACCACTGATCCTGTGGCTATGTATGTAAATGACCCCAGTGCTGAAGAGTTTGTGACTGTGTGCAGTTTAAATATTCTAGAAGAAATACAGGTCACCGTCAGCATACAGATCCTCTGGGACTCTCCCTTTTGAACAGTGCAGCCAGAAAGTTTAGGAGTCCTCAACTTATTCAGTTCTACAGTTTATTGGGGTATCCTATGCTCCCTCGCTGTCGGGGGACCATCCGCGACGCATGGGTCTACACATGCGTAGGCGTCTGTCAAGACGTGCAGGTAGCAGGGCACTAGGATCCAGGCGCACCCGTCGTCTTGACAGTACTAGGCAGGTAGGGACCTAGGCGGCTCCTGTCAGGTGCAGGGCGGGCTACTTAAACCAGCCCTGCACAGATGCTTGTTAACGAATGGTCTTTTGTATCCTGTTGCCTGTGTTGTGAGTACTCTGATCTGGATTGTCTGACCTTGTTGCCTTCTCCTGTCCTGACCCCTTGGCTTGCCTGACTCTGCTCCTGGATGTTCCCTTATAGATCTGATCTTTTGGTATTGACCCTGCGTGTGACCCGACTATCCTTTGCCTATCGTCTTGTACCTCACCGACCCGCTAGTTACCGACCCGGCTGTTTGACTCTGACTTTGCTCTCATCCGTCCATCCATCCCTCAGGGATCCCTGGGCTCCTCACACATCAGACTCTTAACCCGCTGGAGCCCTTGGCAGACTCCGCTACCTCTGGTAGAGATACCTAGCAGCTGCAACCTGGTCCCGGAGTGCTCCAAGTCCATCCCCACCATCAGGGACCCTGGTGAACAAGTGCTCCAGTACTTAGACTCCGCACTCTGGGGAGGCTCTATCAGGGGACTGATAGAGGTACTGTCAGGTGGTCGGTTACACTCGCCCTATCTAAGCTCAACGATCCCAATAAAACTCTAAAAAGAAACTGTCCTTTGGAGGCAGTAGAAGAGTGAAGAAAATGCTGTGTGCCTGGCTGTGTGTGCTCTAAGTGGGGAAATAGGACTGCATTCACCAGCAGCTCCTTCAGGGCTGTGCTACATGTGCTGCAATGAAGAAGAAGAGGAGTTACTATAGAGGCAGTGTTACTTTACCAACATGTGAAATGTAAATCGCCTATGTAATGTAAGTAAAAAACAGTTCTGTCCGCTTCTGCATTATTTTCGCTACAGCCCAGTAAATATATCAAACAGTGAAGGGTGAATCTTTCTAACGGGGGCACAAACAACAATAATACCTGACCTGTGTGTTAATCTATTTCCACTCTATCCAAAATTAAAAGAAAAAGTTTTGCCTTTTATTCTTCAACTTTTTTTTCTGCACATTTGCAGACATAGAGTTGTGCTCAAAAGTTTGCACACCCCTGGAGAATTGGTAATATACAGTATGTACCATTTTTAAAGAAAACATGATGAGCGGGCAAAACACATTTCTTTTATTTCTTATGGGATTCATAATTAACTGTAGGTCATCACAGAATGGTACAATCATAAAACAAAACATGGCTACAAGTAAACAAATGAAATGCCCCCTGTTCAAAAGTCTGGTTCCCTTTAGTTCTTAATACTGTGTGTTGCCCCCTTTAGCATCAATGCGTGAAGTCTTTTGTAATCGTTGTCTAGGAGGCCTGAATTCTTCCAAGTGGTATAGCTACCCATTCATCTTGGAAAAATGCCTCCAGGTCATGCAAAGTCTTTGGTTGTCTTGCATGAACCAAATGTTTGAGATCTCCCTGGAGTGTTTCGATGATATTAGGGTCAGGAGACTGATGGCCACTCCAGAACCATCTAATATTTCTGCTGTAACCACTGGAAGGTCAACTTGGCCTTGTGCTTAGGGTCATTTTCGTGCTGGAAAGTCCAAGAGCACAGCTTTCATGTAGAAGAATGAAAATTGTCTGCCAGTATTTTCTGATAACATGCTGCATTCATGTCGCCATCAATTTTCACAAGATTCCTTGTGCCTTTAGAGCAAACCCCCCTTCTCCCAAAACATCAGTGAGCCACCACCATGCTTCACAGCGGGGATGATATTCTTGTCAATATAGGCCTTGTTGACCCTCTCCAAACTTAGCCCTTATGGTTGTGACCATAAAGCTCTATTTTTGTCTCATTACTCCAGATTACAGTGTGCCAGACGCTGTGAGGCGTGTCAAGGTGTTGTCAGGCATATTGTAACTGGCCTTTTTGTTGCATTGGCGCAGTAAAGGCTTCTTTCTGGCAACTCGACCATGCAGCTCATTTTTGTTCAAGTATCATCGTATTATGCTCCTTGAAAACTACCACACCGTCTTTTTCCAGAGCAGCCTATATTTCTCGTGAGGTTACCTGTGGATTTTTCTTTGTTTCCCAAACAATTCTTCTGGGAATTGTGGCTGCAATCTTTCTTGGTTTGCCTGACCTTGGCTTGGTATCAAGAGATTCACGAATTTTCCAGTTTGTAATAAGTGATTAAATAGTACTGAATGGCATATTTAAGGATTTGGATAGCTTTTAATATCCTTTTCCATCTTTATAAAGTTCCATTACCTTGTTACGCAGGACTATTGATAGTTCTTTTTTGCTCTCTATGGCTCATTATCTAGCCTGCTCAGTGCATCCACGTGAAAGCTAACAAACGCAATGACTATTTATACACTGACACTATTTTCAATTTAAAAAGCCACAGATGCAGGAAATTAACCTTTAATTGCTGTCTTTTCCCAGAGAATCCTGTATTTCTCCTGAGGTTATCTGTGGGTTTTTCTTTGTTTCCCAAACAATTCTTCTGGGAATTGTGGCTGCAATCTTTCTTGGTCTGCCTGACCATGGCTTGGTATCAAGAAATCCCTGAATTTTCCACTTTGTAATAAGTGATTAAATAGTACTGACTGGCATATTTAAGGATTTGGATAGCTTTTAATATCCTTTTCCATCTTTATAAAGTTCCATTACCTTGTTACGCAGGACTTTTGATAGTTCTTTTTTGCTCCCTATGGCTCAGTATCTAGCCTGCTCAGTGCTTTCACGTGAAAGCTAACAAACTCAATGACTATTTATAATTGACTATTTTCAATTTAAAAAGCCACAGATGCGGAAAATTAACCTTTAATTGCCATTTTTATTCTGTGTGTGCCACCTTGTGTGTCTGTACCAAGGCCAAACATTCCAGGGGATGGAAACTTTTGATCCGGGCCATTTGGGTGATTTCTGTTATTACGATTTAAAAAGCAGCCAAACAACTATGTGATAATAAATGGCTTCATATGGTCACAATCCTTAACCACTTCCCGTCAAGCCCATGTATATAAACGGCCAGAGGGGAGCAGTGCAGGAGCAGGTGGCCGTTTATAAATGTCCTCCCGCTTCCCTGCCTTTGCGCACTCCCTGGGAGCGCGCGGAACACCTATCGCTGTACGGGACCTCTGTGAGGTCCCGATCATGTGATCACTGATTGGCCAATCAGTGATCACATGAATAGTAGTAAGCAACATGTCACTTCTGACATCATTGCTTACTACTAGTGAAATCTGTGAATGATCAGAGGTCACATGGTACAGGGCTATTCACAACAGCCTTGTACCATGTGACAAGCTGTGACCAATCACAGGTCACACAGTATTTCTCAATGGCTGCAAGAATGCAGCCAGAAAGAAGGAAAAATAATTGCTTTTACAGCCTTTATGGGTGTAAAAGCAATCCGCGTGTATAAAAAAAAAAAAATCTTCATCACCCCCTACAAGTAGTACAGTGTCACCATGGTAACACTGTACTGCTAGGGTGATAGTGTGTTAATATATATATATATATATATATTTTTTTTTCTTTCTAAAATTTTTTTTGACTATATGTATGTATGTATATATATATATATATATATATATATATATATATATATATATATATATATATATATATATATATATAGTATAAAAAAAAATTTTTGAAAAATTATAATTTGTGGTTAGCTGAATACATTTTGGCCAAGATTTATGAAGAAAGATTATTTATTTGCAAAATTTTATAAGAAAAACACGTTTTTTTTCAAAATGTTTGGACTTTTTAATTTATATAGCAAAAAAAAAAAAAAACAAAATTCCAGCGGTGAATAAATGCCACCAAAATAAAGTTTAATCTGTCTCAAAAAAATGCTAAAAAATTCACATGGGTACAGTGTTGCATGACCGCGCAATTGTCATTCAAAGTGTGATAGCACTGAAAGCTGAAAATTGGCCTGGACTGGAAGGGGGTGAAAGTGTCCGGACTTGAAGTGGTTAAATAGAAGACCGTTTTGATCAGTTATATTTTCATTATCAATGCCAAAACTTTGATTTCTGCTAGGGTGTGCAAACTTTTAAGCACAACTGTAATGACTGCATATGATCATCTGCACATGTAGCACTTCCGTCTGGCAGTACTAGGGTCAGGGGTGTATTTACCACAAGGCAAACAAGGCATTTGCCTAGGGCAGCATTTTTTAGGGGGGCAGTGGCAGCTTTCATGGGGGGCAGCATCATTTTTCAAGGGGGCAGCACTACCTCCCCAAAAGAATGGATGGACGGAGGGACACACACAGCATAGGGACCAGGTGGGATCTGAAAGAGGCTGTGTGTGCTGCTTTATGGGGTATGCAGAGCCTGACTCTTGTTCCCGGGGATGTCCTGAGCCATGGGGGGGGGGGGGGGGGTGTTGCCAGTGTATGGGGGGGGGGGCAGTGGTAGTGGAAGGCTATGGGTGGGAGGGCTGGGGTGTTGCTGGTCAATGTCAGGCTCTCTTCATTGGGGAGGGGGTTGTTGGTTGGTGTCAGGGACTCTCCATGGGGCAGGGGGAGAGCTGAATTTTATGTTGCCTAGGGCAGCACAAAAACTAAATACACCACTGACTAGGGTTGTTGGTTCGAATCCCAGCCACGGCACCACCTGGAGTTTGCATGTTCTCCCTGTGCCTGTGTGGGTTTCCTCCGGGTACTCAGGTTTCCTCCCACACTCCAAAGACATGCTGGTAGGTTAATTGGATTCTGTCTAAATTGTCCCTAGTATGTGTATGTATGAATGTAAGTTAGGTACCTTAGATTGTACGCCCCTTGAGGGTTAGCGGCTGATGTGAATGTAATATATATATGTAAAGTGCTGCGTAAATTGACTACGCTATATAAGTACTTGTGATAAATAAATAATAAATAAAATGTCACCTTTTGGCCATAGCTTTTGATTTCGCACAATATCATGCATTATGATGAACTAACCAGCAGAGGGCAGCAGAGCCTAACCTGAACTAGCATGCGTTACGCAGCGTCTTCCTGCCGAGCGGGGTTTACAGTGTTTGAATGTATGGCAATTTAACTCGGTAAGGAATTTCCCATAATGCTTTAGAAAACCTGACAAACAGTTGTATGCTTTAGTTTATTGATTCTGCTACTGTGCTAAAACAGCAGTACATCAATAACCATCTTTAGTTAGAAAACCCTGGGCTGTAGAGGAGTACGAGCAGTTAGGAAAACAGCGCCGAGGCAAGAGCGGAAAAAAATGTGAGCGTGGGGAATACTGGTTTCACGGGAGAGATGAGAGGCTGAGGAAATACAGCAAGAGAAATTATATGCTGTACAGGCCTCTCATGCATCAATGGCAGCAGAAAGAGGAAAAAAAAAAAAAGAAACCGTCTCTTATGGGAATGGACTTCAAAGACATAAAACTGTGTTATAAAGAGAGGCCTAATGGCTTACAGGTCTTGCTGGTATTGCACCTTTCTGTCATTATACTTTGCTTAAATTTGGCAACAAAAATATTTACCTGTAACATTAAATACGGGTTTCCTAAATCAACACATTGTACAAACTCTACTCCTTAAAGGCATTATTTATTAACGCAAAGAGCAATGATGCCCAATAAACCCATGATCCTGCAGTAGACTGGGCATGCCAAAAGCTGACGTGGAGCTGGGGCGGACTGACAACTCATGGGGCCCCCGGGCAATAATGGATCATGGGGCACCTGTGTCCAGGGGCGGACTGACCATTTGGAAACTCGGGCACTGCCCGAGGGCCCGGGGTCAGTAGGGGGCCCCATGAGATGCCCCTGGTACCTTTTTCATAGGCTTTTTTTGAGTTTGATAAGGACACAGGGGCCCCATGATCCCCTATTGCCTGGGGGCCCCATGAGTTGTCAGTCCGCCCCTGCCTGTGTCCTTGCCCACACTCAAGGTACACCCAAAAAAGCCTATAAAAGGTACCAGGGGCATTTCATGGGGCCCCCTACTGACCCCGGGCCCTGGGGCAGTGCCCGAGTGCTTGAATGTTCAGTCTGTACCTGATGTGGAGCCAATCTGTTTATTAGGGATCAGATGAAAAGGGCGCCACATTTTTTTTATTGTCCATAGCAACAAATTCCTACTCCACTTTTGTTTTTGAAAAACAAAAAGGATAACCTGTGATGGCATAACATAGTCTCTATCAGACTCTATAACAACAGAGTATCAAGCTGAGAATCACTGCTTGTCAGGGCTCTGTCCTCGGCAGAGGTGTTAGGAGACCTGGCACCCCTGCCAGTACCTTGCATGGCCGCAGAAGTTCACATCGGCTCAAATTTGGCGCCAAACGGCCTTTATAAGGAAGCCCTGCACTACTCTCAGGTGCTGATTGATCTCTGGCTCCCTAGTACCTTCGTTCGCTTGCTATCCTGATCCTTCCGGGTGATCTGTGTACATTGCAAAGGCTTTAAAAACTTTATAGCAGAGTCCTACATTGATCTGAAGAAAAAAAATTGCTTGTTCTACCATGTTTTTGCAAGAATAATTCCTAAATGGGAGGATCTGGTTCATTATGAATAACTGGTACATTCTCCGTGTTCTACTGAGAAAAGTTGCAGTATTGACATCCCCTTAGAAGTAATTAACCTTTAAGGATTTTCTTTTTAGAGGAACTTGACAGGCGGTGAGGATGAAATGATTCTATGGATATAGTCATTTTGCAGTGGTGTGAGTTTCTGATGGAACGTAACATGAGAAACCAAGCCTTAGTATCCATTTTTCAATTTTCTAATCAATTTTGCTTATGATCATTCCTCCTTTTTTGTAAAAGTTCCATTTGACAAAATTGGTGCATAGTGTCCTTTTGTAATGTTTATAAAGAAGAATACCTGAGAAATCAAGACGTTAACATCCATTTTTCAATTGTATAATAATTTTTGGCTATGATCATTCCTCCTTTTTTGACAGTCTTTTTTTTTTTCCAACCAAGGAAAAGGTGAGGGGTCATTCCTGTAACAAAGTTATGAGCACAATATTGAGGTTCGAATGTTAGGAAGTCCATCTGAAAGTTAAGAGGCATGCAAGCATCAATCCATGAGCTCCCGATTTTTACAATATTTTGTTGTTTTGTAGCGCTGAGAGTTCCTCCTAGAACATAACCTGAAAAACCAACACCTTAACCTCCATTTTTCTATTTTCTATTCATTTTCGGCTATGATCATTCCTCCTTTCTGTAAAAGTCTTTTTTTTCTTTCTCATTTCTACAACAAAGAAGAAGGTTAGGGGTCGTTCCTATAACAAGGGGTCAGTACGATATGACTAATAGGCTAGATTGTTAGGAAGTCCACCTGAAAGGTAGGAGGCATGTAAGTGTCAATTCATGAGGTCCTGATTTTATGAATGTGGACATGGTGTCATTTTGTAGCACTTTGAAGATAACCTGAGAAACCAGGGCCTTAACCTCCATTTTAAATTTTTATAATAATGTTTGGTTATGGTCATTCCTCATTTTGTAAAAGTCTCTTTTTTTTTTCTTCCACCCAAGGCAAAAAAAAAAAAGGCAAGTCCTATGATTTGTATCAATATACTGTGCAGCGTTATCAAAGAACATTAAACATAACAGACTATAAATTTAATATGTTCCAAGTGATAAAACATAAGTGTTAATGTTCCACGTATAAAATATTCCATATGATGAAACCTAAAAGTGTTCCGATACCACATATAAGTGAAAAAAAGTTGAATGCTTACTAGAACACAACGGCGCTCTCATACTACTGAGCAGCCATAAATGCTTGAGGGATAAATCCCAGAGATTTGCCCACGGTAGATGGTATAATCCAAATATTCACTCTGGTTCCCTCACATGTCACAAAGACATGTAAAAAAAAAATCAAAACTCATAGTGCAGTATATCCTTAAAAATAGTATTTATTAAGTTAAAATGGTGCACTCTCATTAAATTGAAGATTTTTTACATGTATTTGTGCCATGTAAGTAGAACCAGAGCGAATAGTTGGTTTACACCATCTACTGTGGCCATGTTTGGGATTTATTCCCCAAGCATTTATGGCTACTCAATAGTAGGAGATCCATTGGGTTCAGGTAAGCATCCAACTTTATTCCTATCTCTATTGGATATTTGGGAGCTGATCAGAACAGGGGCGGACTGACACTCATGGAGCCCCGGGCAATAGGGGATCATGGGGCCCCTGGGCAATAGGGGATCATGGGGCCCCTGTGTCCTTGCCCACACTCAAAACACACCCAAAAAAAGCCTATAAAAAGGTACCAGGGGCATTTCATGGGACCCCCTACTGACCCTGGGCCTTGGGCAGTGCCCGAGTTCTCAAATGGTCAGTCTGCCCCTGGATCGG